ACTTCCAGCAAGAAATAAAAAACCCAGCAATAAAAAAAACCAAGCAAGAAAACAAAATACCACCACTGAAAAATGGAACCGCCGTCTGCCGAACTAGTCGACTCAACTGGATGAAGCCCTCTGCTCCTGATCGGTGCTTCGACTGCTCCAGGTAAATAGGTAATAAAGATTTTGATTTTGAAAATTTGAATTGATTTCGTGCGAGTGGTGGTGTCGATCTAGACTCTGGTGTGATTCGTGAGTAGATGGAGAGGGATTGATGGATGGGTTAATGGGTTATAATTGGGTAATTTGGATTAGGTTTTAATTGGGTGGGCTTGTTCAAATAAATAAAAAAAAAAGTGGATGGATTGGGCTGATTTTTTAACTGGTCTTGTCCCAAAAAAAAAAAGAAATCTTTTGCTGGACCGGGCTACAGCCCGGTCCAGCCCCCCTCCATCCGTCCCTAACAGAGTCAACGACGACGGTGATTCTTTTTTGTGTATGTGACATAGCTATTAAATTGTGACTTTAAAATTGATAATTTGCAACTAAAAAAAGAACTTGTGACCAACAAATTTGAAAATACGTGACCAGTGACGTATAATTTTTTTGATTTGTGACCAATAAAATAATTTGTGACCTATAAAATTTTAGATTTGTGACCTCGAAATTATCCGTGATTTACAAAATTTTTGATCTGTGACCGATAAAAAAATTGCGACCTATAAATTTTTTGATAAGCCATGACCTGGAATTAATTTTTAACTTATTAATTAGATATATGCTACCAATTTGCACAATTAAATATTTAATTAATCAATAAAAAGTAAAAATCTGATTTTTGCAATTTTAAAACTTTAACACCTGATTTTTGCAAATGTCAAATTTAATACCTGATCCATGAATTTTTCCCAAATTTGAAATACTGATTTTCTTGAGAATATGTCTTTATTAAAAAATAGGGACACGTTTTTTTGAGAACAATCATGATGTACACTATTGTTTACATTTTGTTACGTGGCAATATCCAATTAGACAATTAAAAATTTTTTTTTCATCCAATTATTTGTTGACAACAATGCAAATGACATCGTCAATAATGTAAAAAATTAGTGTACAAATGTCGTAACCCATTTGAGAATGTGTTAATTGTTAGGATAGCACTTGGTATAGATATCTGAAGCCCACATCCAAATTCTTCAAACTTTCGTGCCAGAAATAAAATTTTGAAAAAACGGCACAGCTTTCCCTCCAGCGGAGCCCAAGTTCGCTTCACCCTTCATTTCCCTCTCATTTTCAACTTTTTCCCAGTTCACCAAGAAAAAATTCCTTGCGAAAAGGAAGATTTATTCCCAGGATTTTATGGATCCGATCACCGGCGACATCAAAAACAACCCGCTGAACGATAATTCTGAAGGTGGTGGCAATGGCACCACCACCATGGCTCTGCAGAAAAAAGCGTTCCAGGAGGGTAAGTTTCGCGGAGATGACGTCGGTTCACTTTTTTGACCGCGACGATGAGTTTAACGAGACCCCTCGAACTGACACTGCAAAACCAAGTGATAACTTGACCTAGGGTTTGATGGACAATTGGAGGAACCAAGGGATTCTGAAGGAGGTAATGATGATGACAACGATGAAGAGATGGTTATGCGTAGTTCATTTTTGCATCCCATGGAATCGCCTTCTCCCGGTAGCACCATTGGTTCCGCCACCTCTAATGATGGTAAGCGTCTTCACTTTGTTCATGAAATATGTTTGTGCCTTTTCCAATTGCTCTCACTTTACAGTTACTTATTTTATGCTGCTTTTCTTAATGTTCCTTCTCAAGCATGCAGCTTATCCAGGCCTTCCAGCATTGTTTTCATGTTTAATGTGTGTCTTAATTAACTCTTTACTAAGATTTCTTATTGCTTTTGAGGAACATAGGTACTGCAATGGTTCAATGAATAACATATAACGAGTTCTTAACATAATTTACGGAATTTACTCTGTCTTTTGCTCCAATGGGTCATGTCCTCGTGCATTTTGGTGATACTCTAATGTTCAACAGATGGATGAGAGCTTTTCAATGTATTGACGAGTAATGTTATCTCCTAGTTTCTGATGGAAAAATTTGAGCAAAAAATTCTTCAAAATTTACTATGCAACTGCTTTAGATCTTTTGAATAAGCAGCTACTTCTATCTTTTTATCACAAAGAGCGTCTTCTTCTGCTGTAACATATTTGCAATTTCATAGAATGCTGTCAAATGCCTCGGCTATCAATTTTTACAGCAGAATGCTGATAGACTGAAGAGGAAGGTCCCTGTTGGTGATTTTCTCTTTTTGGCGCTTTTAGAGCATTGTAAAGAGGGATTATTGGACATTCAGCAATTCCCGAGGGATCTCTTGTAGAATTCTGGCATATCATATTAAGTTATTCTCCTACATGATATTGTAATGCATATGCTAAGTTATTTTCATACTAGTATATTTGTAATGCGTATAGTTTCATATTTTATTTACACACGGTTAAAACATAATTTAGCTTTCATATACCATACACATGTCACTTAACAATAAACCAGTTCATCCCCACTAGCAGAATCTCTAAATTTTGTGCTGAATAGATCTAATTGGCAAATTACCAATGTTTAAACTAGTCAAACTGCTACTGCAGACCAATAGAAAAATCTATTTTGCTTGTAATAGCCATGCATGACCTAATTGCCGTACTTAAATGCCCCAAACTTATTTTCTGCTATTCATTCATTATGGTTATGTTCAGATTGAAGATTGCATTGTACGGATTTCTTTATCACAATAGTAATTATACTTCATTTTTAAAGAATTACAGCATACATTATGTCAAGGTTCGAAGACACTTTTAAGAAGTGATTTGTTTATTGGAAGTACCAGTTATTGGTGCAGCAGCAAGAGTAGGTATTTCTCATTCTGTTTTGATTAGCTAGGATCCTCCTATCTTTTTCCTTTTTTTTTTTACTCTTTCTTCAATTTTCTTTGTTTTGTTTTTCTGAATAGATAAATTCCAACTTTTTCCCTTAATATTTTCTCAGAAGATAATTTCTTTGGGCCTGTATCAGCCAGTTTCATAAGGCCTGGCCAATTGTCTGACTTTGCAGCCTCAGATGATAATCATGATGTTACAATGGATTCAACTGCATTTTCCATGCATTTTCATAGTCTTGCTAGATCCGAGTCTGGAGTAGAATTAAATACCCCAACAGGTGTTCATCTCTCCTTCGAAGAGAAAACGGAAACAAATGAGAATGTAGGAAGTTTCATGAAATTGACTTTAGTTAAGAAGCCGATTTCCGAATCGTCCATTGTGGCCACAAATGCTAGTGGAAGTCATGATTCAAATGATATGAGTCTTGTTGGCGAAAACCCCAGTAAGTATAACTATGAGAGATTGTCACCAGAGTTGTTGTACTTTTGGAGGAAAGCAGAAAAAAATTGCTTGCTGTTGGTGCCTCTGATGATACTAATGCTTCACAGTCACCTGGAAGGATGAAAAGTAGGCTTTCTGTATCATATGATGGGAATAGCGTTGTGGATTTAAGTGAATTTGCAAAGCAAGAAATAGGCACGATCATTTCTCATGATTTGCAGAGTAAAGAAGTTTCTGATGTACATGGCAAAATTTCAAGAGGCAAATGGTTGTACTGGAACCTCTCTATTTGTCATCCCCCTCAAGGTTTTTCATTTAATCCTAGCAATGCTGCAGCTTTTGACATCTCCAAGGATAACCAGAATAGGTCACTCAATCAGTTGAGTAAAGTAAGAATACCCATTCATGCTACCATAATTTCTTATCCTATATTTATTTTCTCAAATGAATGCTCTTTGAGTGTGTTGCGTATTTGATAACTTCGAGGTCACTTGTTTGAAATGCTTCTATGCTGCAATATTAGTTCTTTGAAAATCTTTCAAAAATCTTAGACTTAAAGGTTATTTTAAGGTATTTGTCAAACTTAATTTTATATAAATATGATATATTAGGACAATATTTTTCTAGTAGATAACTTGACATTTTATCGAAATTTCTCATATATTTTTGCTGTATGCATGATAGAATTTTTGCCTTCAGTTTATTCTTGATTACTGCTTCTACTATTTTGTTATGAAGGCAAAGGTAGTTACTTTTAATAATTCCTGAATAATGAAAAGTTTTAAACTTCGTTTCTACACTTCACACAACCATCTGGTCTATTTTTCCATGCCCAGTTGTTTTCATTATACATAGCTCCCAATACATATTCTATTGTCAATGTGTGCATAGTTTACACCTGTTAAATATGCAATTGTTGTTTATACCAAGTACTTATTCGTTCGTCTTTATTGACACGCATAATTCTCTACCAGCATACACTGTATTCCACGATAGTCTTTCAAGAAAGCCTTTGAGAGGATTGTGTAGGTTTAAAGGTTGGATGAATCACATACTGAGTTTCATCCACTCCACTGATTTGTTTATCTTCTTTCTTTTATGGTGTAATTTACAGGACAATTTTGTGGAGGAGTCTGTTAAAGACACTCACAAAATGTGGAGGCCTAATGCATCTTTGGTAATAACTGGCAATGGGCTATCAGAACCAAATAACAAATGTAGCCATTTTAATCAGCATTCACACAATGAATCTGGATCTCCAATGGTAGGATCTATATCCTTAACTGCTAAACGGAGACAAACATCACTAAGTAATTCTTCTCCATCTAAATATTTGAGATTGGGAACTCCTTTCCAAGAACGACATTCCTTTCTGAGTAGTGAAAACATAAAACGTCTTGAGAGTGATTTATCAATTCAGAAAAGCATTTCTAAACTTGAATTATTTGAGAAATCAAGCTTTTCTTCTTCCTTCAGTACTGAAATTGACAAATCATATGTCAAGTCACTGGATTTTTCAAAATCTTCTCCTTTTGATACTTTTAAGGGGAAAGAACACGAAGATTTTAAAATTAAACATGTCAAGGACTCTGTTAGTGGAGAGAAGCTCTCAAGTTCAAAAGAACAAAATAGAACGTTCAGTGTCGTTGGTAACAGGTTTGAGAACCCAAATCATAATTTCAGGGAAAATTATTTGGAAGAATCTTTGGCCCATACAAAGAGTGAAAAATATGCAAATGATATACATGCTACAATTCTTCACGCAGACCACAATGCAGATTCACCATCTCAGTTCACCGGGTCTGCAAATAAAAGGAGCAAGTTTTTATAACATCAAAACATACCAGTGACAATGCACTAATTACTTCCAGAACTGAATCCTCATTGGCCCAGACCACTTCAGATGAAGAAGCGAAAGAAATTGTCTCTCCTCATGGGTATGTTACTTCTCTTGGTAAAAGATTGGAAAATAAGTTTCTAACTTCTCCGGCGAATCAAGGTGGCCAATCTAAGGACTTAGAGCAGCAAAATCAGTTTGCCCAACTTCCAGATTTTGACCCAGTCTGAGATTCATCTCTTAAGGGAAGTGTTATTGATGCTAATCTCTCAACTTTGATAAAATCAAGGAAAGGAAGGAGATTAAGCTGGAAATTATTGAGCTAAAAACTAACAGGAAAAAAACAGAAGCCGGATAGAGATAAACCTGCTGAATAGCAGGGAAGATGAAGAATGATTCATTCATTCAAGCTTAAGGAAAATACAATGCAACCTATTCTATTTATAGAGAAAAACTAACCAATTATCTAACAAACTAACAATATAACAAACTAAGGAAGGAACTAGAACTAAAGAAGAGCCGAACATGTGAACTAGAGAGGTAGTTTGCTGAACTTGAACTGATCAGCTGGTGATCTGGTTTGCTGATGATCTGGTGAGCTAAGTTTGCATATATTCCAACACTTCCCCTCAAGATGGAACATCTTGATCACTAATTTATTTATAGAGAAAAATATAACAAACTATCTAACAAACTTAACAATATAACAAACTAAGGAAGGAACTAGAACTAAAGAAGAGCCGAACACGTGAACTGGAGAGGTAGTTTGCTGAACTTGAACTGATCAGCTGGTGATCTGGTTTGCTGATGATCTGGTGAGCTGAGTTTGCATATATTCCAACACTTCCTCCTCAAGATGGAACATCTTGAACCGTAGAAAAAGAGAGTAGAGATGCAATCAAGGAGCATCTTGTTTCATTTCAATTTCGTTTTTGATTCCCTAACTGGGAATAAATCATCCATCCTCACAGATATTTTGTCTGCCTTCAATTTTGTTTTGATTCCCCATCAGGGAATCAATCAATCATTTTGGGAAGATCTTGAGAAACCTGCCATTTCTTGCAGGTTCTATCTTCAATTTCGTTTCAGTTTGATGAAGAGGAACAACATCTCTTCAGTTTTCATCCATTCCGACATTTCGTCGAACATTTAGTGAGCCAAGTCACTTTCCTATTTTCTGGTTTTCTGTGTTTCTGAT